CTCCAGATTGGTGTTATTAGAAAGCAGGAATAAATCCATGATAGGATAGCTCAAAAAATCTTATCTAAAAGAACAGTTTTGCCAAGTGCAGTGAAGAACACCTGGAATCCCAGCTACTTGGGAGGCTGAAGCAGGAGGATCACAAGTTCGAGACCAGCCTGGGCAATTTAGTGAGACTGTCTCTAAATAAAACAAAGACAGGCTAGAGTGAGGTTAAAGATGAAATTTATAAAGAAGCAGCAGTTTTTCATATCAATCAAAAGAGAAAGATGCCTGTTATGTTGTGGTTTGGACAATATGCATGCTTTATCATCTATGTTTGGACATGATGTTAGAGTGGTCTTGTTTCTGCCTTGACCCTTCTTCATCATAGACTGGCGTTATCTGATATTGATGTTCTGTGAACTTGTTCATGTTCAGTGGGAGAGTGCCATGGCCTAGCTGTGTGTGCAGGGCCAGGGCCAGCTCCTGGATGTCAGGCACAGTCTCCATCCATCTCTGTATATGTGTTTGTTTGGGTGTGCTCCTTGACTTATGATGGAGGTTATTTCTTGAGAAGCCCATTTTAAGTTGAAAATATTCTCAGTCAAAATGCATTTAACGTGCCTAATCTACTGCACATCCCAGTTTAGCCTATCCCACCTTATATGTGCTCAGAAAACATACATTAGCCTATAGATGAAAAAATCATCTAACACAAACCCTATTTGATTTTATTTTAAAATTTTTTTTATTTGAAATAAAATAAAAGTGCATTATAGTTATGCATAATTGTGCATTACAGTTATATATAATAGTGGGATTCAGTTTGACATTCATAAATGCATATAACATAGTTTGCTCCATTTCAATCATCAGTACTTTCTCTTTCCCTCCTCACCCCTCCCCGTCCCCTTCCTGTATTGTATCAGTCTTCTATGTATTTATTTTTAATTGGTGACATATATATGTGTGTGTATGTGTATATATATATATATACACACACATATTGTATGTATGTATATACATATATACATACATATATACATACATGTATATACATACATATATATACATACATATATATATGCATACATATAATTGGAGTGTATTGGGATATATTCATGCATGCATATATCAAAATTTGATCAATTTCACTCCCCAGTTCTTCCCCTTTCCTACCTTGCCCTCATTCTACTAATCTCCCTTCTATCTTCATGAGATCACAAATCCTATTTTATAAGAAAGCATCAATTTCATGTAAGTATTTAATACAACACTGAAAGTGAGAAACTTTGGTTGTATGGATGTGCTTTCATTCCATCTTAAAGTCAAGAAATCCCTAAGTCAAACCATCGTAATGTCATCATAATGGGGTTACTTTAGGGTGTTTAGGAAGCCCAGTGTGTTACAGTGACATTTGAGCAGAAAACTGAAGGAAGCAAAGGAGGGCACCTTGCGGTGGGGAAGAAGGTGAGGAGATGGGGACAGTCTGGGTAGAGCCAGCAACAGTGGAGTCCTTGAGGGGGAATCATCAGGCTGGCTGGTGTGAGGCTTAGCATGGGGGTCAATGGGTTTGGAGCAAAGCACTCAGGGATAAAGAGGTGGGAGATGACAGGTTAAGTATTGGACATAGCTAGATCAAGGCAGGCCTGTGGGCAGCATAAGGACATTGGCCTTCACCCTGAGTGTCGTAGGAGCCATTAGAAGGCTTCTAGTGCACAGCCATAAGGAAATTTTGTTGTAAATAGATCTCCTGGCTGTGTGAGAGTGGCCCCCAGGGGCAATGGTGGAGCAGGGAGATGAGTGGTGCAAAGGGCTGGAGAGAACATACCACGGGGACCAGTCATGGCAGCAGCAGAGTGCTGTGAAACACCCGGACTCTTCAAGGATTTCCTGATGGCTTGGAAACAGAGTAGGAGAGAAGGATGCCAAAGTTTTTCACTTAAGCAAAGAAAAGATTGGATTGTGCTTTCCTGAGATGAGAAGCCTCTCTGGAAGAGCAGCTCTCTGGAGCTCAGTGAGGGCCTGTTTAGGTTGAGATGCCCTGAGACATAAGTGGGGAGATATGGAGTAAGTCGATGCATGTGTGGGCCTGGAGCCCACAGGAAGTTGGGGCTGGGGGTGTGGATATGGGATTTACCAAAGTTTATAAGAACATCATGACTTCATGGTCCTACATGAGATCAGAGTGTGGATGTAGGTAGGAAAAAGTTCTTATATATCTGCACTCGATTTCTGTGTACTCCACTATTTTTAAGTTTGAAAGGTGAAGAGAAAACACAGAAGAGATTGAAAGGCATATCCAAAGAGGTTTGGAGAGGACCAAGAGTTCAATGATCTATTAACAAATATGCATTGAGTTCAACCCAACATCCAAGAACTTTTAAGACTTTAAATTCTGAGCCACCAGAAATACTGGGTAGATGGCAATACTGGGGTGGGGAGGAAGGTTTAGGCAGGACTGTAGGCTGACATCAGGCATCTGTTCTTCCCTCTTGTTAAGAGAACCTTGACTTTGGGGAGGCAATGTACTCAAAATTTCCCAGATGCCCTTCCAATAAGATATAAACAGAAGTGTGATATGCAATTTCTGCTTAAATGGTGCTAATGCAGCTGAGAGGAATACATTTTTTGCTCTTCTACCCTTATTCCTTCCTGTTGTCCAGAATTTGGATGTTATAATCAGAGCTCCAGCAGCCACCTTGGACCTTGTAAATGGAAACCAAGGATTAAGGATGACACAATGAAAACATAGAAGCCCATGTTCCTGGCAGCTGTTGAGTTGTCAACCAGTCAAGGATTGCTTAACTTTAGATCTTTTGAATGAGCAAGAAACAAACTTTCATCTTATTTAAATCACAGTTAATTTTGGCTTTTCTGTCATATGCAGAACAAGCTAATTCTAACTTATAGATTTGTTCATAGTTCTTCAAAACTGGGAAGACAGCTTATGTGCACTAAAGATTAAAAGATGATTGTTTATGGTCCCTGCTCTCCCAGAACTCCCTGTACACCCAGCTGGCCTGGTTGGCATCAGGTTATTTAATGCTACTGGTAAGAGCTATTATGGTGGATGTGTTCCTGAGTCCACACCAGGACTAAGGCAGATGGTAAAGCAAGCTTCATCTTTTTTCCTCCTTTCCTTTCAGATCATATCTAAATTCAATAACTCAACATGTGTTCTTGCTCTGATTTCATTCCATTGACTATATTTGATTTTAATATATTCCACTACCTAATTTAAGCCTTGAAGTTGAAGAGGAGAAAATGATAATGTGGACCAGATTTTAGATGGTTGGCACTTATAATTTCTCAGAAAACCTGTAAGGAATAATAAGCAATGGTTAAGAACTTGCTAGGAATCAATTTTGCATGTGAAGTTTCATCCAATCAACAATTATATAAATACTCTAGCCCTAGAAACTTGGCAGGATGCTAAAACTACAAATATGATCTGTGTCATTTCTTTAATGGAGCAATTATTTTGATGTTGTGTTTTCCTTTTGGAAGGTACCTTAAAAGTACACTTGGCCAGCTTTTCACCTCTGGCCAATCCTGCTCTTAAATATCTGAATCCTAGTGTCTTAAATGTCTCCAGATCTGGGCCAAATGGAGATATTGAACACATACCGGGTGCCAGGTTCATTGCATATATTATCTTACTTAATCTTTACAATAACTCTGCAAGAAAGGTTTTAGAATCCTCCTTTCACCCATAAGAACCAGACCCTCAGAGGGTACCAGCAATCTGCTTACAGTCATATATAGCTCATGAGGAACAGAGCTGTTATTCAGATTCAGAACTCACACTGCTGTTTGCCTGTACATCAAACTGTTTTCCCCCAAATATCTTTGTTGGTGATGCCTTCTCTATTGTCTAATAGCCTTTTAAGCCAGGGAATCTCTTATGAGCAGTGTAAACAGATTTCTGCCCCTGGATTCTATTTCTCAGTTTCCACTAGTCACAATCCTAACCCTCTTCCAAATCTTTTGTACATTCCCTTTCTCCTCTATCAGCCTTCCTTGCACCTGCATATCAGCATGATCTCTGCTTTCTGGGAATTCTCCTTACTCCATTCTTGGCTTTTATGGCGCTTATCACTTTATTTTACCAAGGTTCTTTGTATTTTTGAGTGATATACTTTAATCATTGATTTTCAGTAGGAAGGAGAAAAGAAAGGGCAAATTTATTGCACACTTTTTGTCTCCTTTAATCCCCTGAATAATCCACTGAGTAGTTTTTATCTGCCATTTTACATATGAAGAAACTGGACACACAGCAGGCTGAAGAGGTGGGATGATTTGCAAACACGGATTTGCAAGGACGTCAAATTGGAATTACAGATCGTTCTCTCCACACCCCGCCCCCTCAGACTAGCACTTCGCAAAGGCGTCCATTAAAATGGTTCGTGAAATAAATTAATGGATGGGCGGATGAATGAATGAGTATTTAAAGGCTGGTTTATAAAAGAAATTTAGTAAAAAATGACATAAAAGAGCTGAAGTTCCGCTTGAAATATAGATTCCTTGTACACTTGGGGTTTGGTGGCTGCAGAAAATCACAAACGTTCGGATTAAAAAAGAAAGGGCTCCCTTAACGTTGAGACAACTAAAGTGTGACTTTGCGAAGAAGTCTACAACGCCTGTGATTCCGGGACAGACGCGCAAACTACAAAGCTCCCTCCTTCGGAAAGCTCTGGAACACCGTCACATTCTGTTCCCATACTCGGGCCTCTGGGGGAGGGCAGCGCCTGTCCCTTTAAGAATCTGGTCGAAGTCCTTTTCCTTGCTCTGCCCCGCCTCCCCGCGATACCGGCGCGGTCTGGACGCCCACCTCTTTCTGCTTGTGAGGCGGCACTATGGGTTCGGACGCCCATCCGTCACAGAGGCGCCACCTCTGATTGGCTGTTACGCTTCGGGCCGGGAGGCGGGGCGGGAAGGCCGGAGAAACTAGTTTGTTGGCGGCGCCTCGGCGGTACCGCGGCGGGCGCATTCGGGGCCGTGGGCAGCCGGTCAGGGGAGGCGGCGCAGTGGCTGCGGAGCTCGTGCGGACGGCCAGGGGTCTCTGAGCACGGCGGACGGCAGCGCCCGGAGCGGTGAGTGCCTGGGCTGGACTGAGCCAGGCTGGGGGCGCCGTCCTCTGGCGGGCTTGCGTCCGCGCTCCGGCCACCGCACCGGGGACTTGTCACCTCCCCCGGGCTGGACCCGGTTCGTGGAGTCCTGGGCAAAGTGAGCCTCCTCAAGGCCATGAGTTCTGGGAGGAGCGCAGAGGGACTGGGGTCCCGGAGCTGCCCCGGCTACCGCGTGTCTTGGGGCCACTGGGGTAGGGGACAATGTGGGGGGAGGGCGGCAGCACTTAGCCACCCCAACCCCTAGCCCGGAGTCCTCCCGTCGCGTCTGTGCCTGGGGACTCCGCGAGGGTATTTGCTAAGAGCCCTGGGCGAGGGAATGAATTGTTTTGCAAATGGATGTTGCGCACGGGAGCTGCTACTTTTCCCCCTGGGAGCGGTTGATTCATTGAGTCCACACACTCTCTTTTTAAAAAATTACTATTGATCCTGGAAAACGGAGATTGCTTGTCTTCGAGGATATGAGCGGCAGAGCTCTGCGCCCTGGCGGAGCGAAGTCCCCGTTCACTTGGGCCCTGCCTGGTGCCCTGCGAGGAAAAAGAATTGAAATGTTGGTCTACTCCAGCCGGGTCCTGGAGCCTGCTACCCTTTTGCCCCAGGCCTTGTATGCCCCACTAGACAAGAGTCCTGTATCTCTGTGCGTTTCACGAGAAGGGAGAAATGGGTAATAGTCCCAAAGTTACACCCACCTGTCCAGCTGGGTGGTGGCCAACCTGGCAGCTCCAGAGCAAGTATATAGTCTGATTCCTCTTCCCTCATCTTGACCTGGCCCCGGGATTCCTCCCTTTCCCCCCCTTCCTTTTCTCCTTCATAGTTGTTTTAGCAGCTTTGCCTTTGGGGAATTGTGTTCCCAGGGGCACCAGACTCCTTTTTTGTGTGTGTGCTGCTGCTTCAGCCACCCCAAAGTTCACTCCCACTGTCTTTGAGGTAAGAAGAATTTCCATAAAGACCTGGTCAAAGGAAGTGGGTGGTCGGCCCAGGCCCCTTCCCTTTAATCTGGGTTCTTGAGTCCTGCTGAGCTCCCAGTGCTCTCTCTCCCTTGGGGAAGGCTCACTGGGCTCTGGCCCTCCCTGGTGAGTCAGGGCAAAGTGTGTCAGGTGTTTGGGTCCTTTGGTTTCACTCTGGCATGGCAGTGGGTCAGGGAAGGAGGGAAGTTGCCTATGGCACAAGGACCAGACTGTGACTTGAGACTCAGGCCTTTGGTATCCTGGGACTCTGTCTCCCCTTTCATAGGTGGAACTGATGCTCAGTGGGCCTATGTGTGCCGTTAGGATTTCTGGGTGATGTTGGGAAAGCATTGCAGCTGGGGGCTGGGAGGAGTAGGACACAGGGTCCTCCCCACCCTTAGAGTTGGTCTTTCTAAGACCTGGATTCCTGAGTTTCCAAGCTGTGCCTGTGGAGCCTGACAGAATTATCTTTTCCCAGGCCCCACAGATATTTCAATTTTGATTAATTTGTTAGGAAGTGACTCCAGGGAGGTCATTAAGGAGAGTAGACAGAAATGGAAGAGTAAACCTTCTTCCTGGGTCTCAGGCTGCTGCTGAATTTATGTGTGTGGTGTAGAGACAAGAGCTGTGGGCAAGTTGCACGCTCCACATTGGAGGCGGCTTCTGTAGCCTGATGTCCTTAATGGCATCTTAAACCTGCGGGCACCCAGTGTTGGGAAAGGAGACCAGGAAGAAAAGAAAGAAATTACCCTGTGCCAGACTGTACAGTCTGCAGTGAAAACAGGCCTGGTTCTTCCCAGTATAGAGTGAGTGTGTAATTTAGTGAGTGGTTTTAGTCATTCATTCCTTCATTTATTATTTCATTCATTGTTTCAGACTTGACTGGGGACCCTGCTTTTAGGGACCTCCTAGATGAGAGGGTGCTGGCATGTGGATCAGGGGCCCTATCAGAGTACAGAGAACCCCAGTGATTAATAAAGGCAGCAAGGGAAGCTGAGGGGACACTGAGGAAGAGTGCAGGTGGCAAAGGTGTCCTGGAGAGAGGATGCCTGGTCTAAGATAGAAAAGGCATGCCTCAGCCCAGATTCTCCTCTCCTGCTACCCACCCACATTTCTCCCAGAGCCAGTTCAGGTTGATGTCAAGTTAGGGCACAGGTGAGGTCAGAGAGAATGCAAGTGAGAGGTGATGGAGAGGTTCTTCTCAGCTGTGGTGGTCTGCTCTGCATTGGCAGTAGTCCACTCACAGGAAACTGGGTGGCTTCTGAATGCGAGGGGTCCTGACAGAACCTACCCCATTGTCCCTAAAGACCAGCCCATGGCCTGACCCCTTAGTCCTTCTGTAACATAGGGTAGTGGGGGTGTAGCCTGGCCAGAGGGGGCTGTCAGAGCTGGGACAAGCAAATAGAGTGTCTAGACAAATGAACTGACTGACTGAGATAGTGGTTTTCGTCTAATGTGGTAAATTTCCTAATTGAATTGCCTGCTCAGGGCTGTCGAAACATTTTCCCCAAACCAGGAACACTTAGTTTGGACAAGTGGAAGGAGTGGCAGGAAGAGGGAGAGCTTACGTATCTGCAGCTTTTAGTCACACCATCCCAGCAGGACTTAATCAGTCTACATCTGTCCCCTGGTGATTGCAGCCACCTTTCTGCAGGTTTCAGCCCCTTTTCTGGACCACCTCCCCTGGGCAGCACCAGCTCCATTACTAGTTCTAAAGGTAGCAAAAGCTGATACCAGTGGCTTTAAGCCATTGCCTCACCACACTGACTTCAGGTCCCTCAAGGGCCATTAGGAGGTAGGAGTTTGGGGAATTAGAGGACAGAGAATGGCTTCAGGGATGGGCAAGCTCTCCGTAAGCCCCTCAGTACAGTATCAGTGGAAGGAGTGCAAGCTGTGGACCCAGACTGGGGCTCCATGCTGCTGGGTGTCTGTGACTGAATTCTGTAACCTCGCTGGGCCTTACTGGCCTCTCCTGGGATATCCTAAAGATTAATAGTCTCACCGTGTAGACTCCTCTAGAATCTTCTGGCACCAAGTGGACATTGGTCATAGCCAGCTTCCTTTTCCCCTCACCCCATTCCCTGGGCACAGACTGAGGCTGGGTGCTGGCTTGCAGCCCTTTCTTGGGCCTCAGCCGCCTCCCTGCTCCTTCCAACCCCTGTCTCAGTGCCCTTTTGGATGATAAAGGGTAGACAGACACATGTGGCTTATTGACCTGTTTTTAAAAGTGACAGCTCTGTGGTCTCAGAAATCCAATTTAGTTGGGAAATTGCACAGTGTTTTCTGCAAATGCATAAAGGTCTACCCAATCTTTCTTCCCCTGCTGAGGCTCCCTTGGGCTATCCCTGTTTCAGCGACTAAGGCCTGAAAACTAGCTCCACCTCTTCATCCTGCCGTTGGGTCCCTCAGACCTAGAACCTGTTGGCAGAAAGAGCACTAAAGTGGTGGGAGTCCCACCTGTCCTGCCCCTCCTGGCTGTGTGTCTCTGCAGGCCCCCTTACCTTTGTGAGCTTCAGTTTGCCTTTCTACAAAAATGGGCATTGCTCTTCCATGTAGTGTTTCTGTTAAATGTTTTCCTGTGATATCTGAAAGATTCCTGCAAGCTCTGATGTCAAGCAGCTTTACACAGCTTGGGTTGTTGGCTCAGCCCTCACAGGTAGGAAGAATTTGAGAAGCGGCAAGTGGAGTGCAGAGGAGCCATGTTAGAAAACAGGAGCTGAGTGGATTCTGGTTCCATCTCTGCCTCTGATACATACTGTGGGCTTTGGGGTTACTCTCCCTCTCTGGACCCTCCTCTTCCCTGTCTAGGATGATTCTGGTAGAATGAGAGGAGTGCAGTAGCTAAGCTCCTTGTTTCCTCATCTTGACGACTGGAGATGGATTGGGTTTTCCCAGTATCTCCAGAGGGATAGGGCTCTTCTTCCAACCTCCCTTAGCTCCCTGCCCACTCCTTCAGAGTTTGGGGCCTGCATATGCCCGTGGGTGAGGGGACTGGGGAAGCCAGAAGACTGGGTCAGGAAGTACCAGTCTGGGCCCAGGGGGAGCAAGCATGGGCTCAAAGGAAGATGCCATGTGGGTGACTCACTTTGCTCACCGTCACTGACTGGTCCTGGGGAGGGAGCTGGGCAGCAAATAGAGGAGCCCCTGCTCTGTAACAGATGGGATGAGACCTTGCCTGTGGGGTTTCCCCTGGGCACAGAACCAGAGCCACCAGAGATAGTCAGAGTGTCCCTTTGAACAACAGGGATTGTGAGGAGATGAGGGGGACAGAAGGAGGAGGCTGAGTGCCAGCCTTTGCCCAGGAGGCACCTGCAAGACCTGTTGGATGGCTCCTCCCACTGAGCATGGCCGTGGGAGAGCTGTGGCTGCTGCCCGCCTGAGGACCACATTCACCTTGTGCGTCACTCTCTCCACCTCCACAAGATCAACGCCTTTGCCTGGCAGCTGTGTGGAAGTAGGGTACAGAGATAGGAGGGACAGAAACAAAGAAGCCTTGCATGTTCTCTGCCTATTCCTGTTGAACCCCCAAGGAGGGTCTGACTGCACCTCAATCTCGGCCAAACAGAATTAATTTCCTAATTAAGATAAGAGAAGCATTCCTAGTCCAAACCTCAAGATGAATTGTCTGCCAGGTTTGCAGTTGGCCAGGTTGATTTGTCTGGGTAGAAGTGAGGGCCAGGAGTCTTTTTCTAAAACACCATGACAGTGCATCCAGCGTCCAGAGTGTACATTCTGCTTCACCAGAGCTGGGCCTGTGAGTCCTTGGTCAGCAAGTCCCTTGACCTGTGAATGCCTCTGTTGTGAATTGACAGTCTCAGAAATAAGGGAGAAGGGTATCACAGGCAGTGAGTATCTTGGCACAGTGCTGGGGTGTGAGTGGCATGTAGGGAGTCTGCCTCAGTTTGCACATTGGAGAGTAAGATCATTGTTGGTCTCTATTCCATTATGTCCAATGAGTATTTTTTGCCGTCAGTTCTCTGCCAGGCTCTGGAATTCAGCAGAAAACAAGATGAGGCCCCA